GAGGATTTATATTCGTAGACGAAGGGTACCCACAATTCTCTATATTGAGTTATATAAACGATAATTATCCCCCAATTATTCATTCAGATGTTTAAAATGAACATATATAATATTGACACATAATGCTCAATTCTTCCATATCATATATGTGCTGTGCAAAAATTATTTGATCATAATTTCTTTTAATTATTACTGGTATTAAAGGTTTGACTGGCATAGGTTTTAGTTTCAGTTTATCATATTGAAATACATGAAGATAACGAACTAAGTTCAATCTCAAAAGTGGAATAAGCAATTCAAATCAGGAGCAGAGAAAACATGGACCTCTAATATATCAGAGATGGGATCAAGTGCCATTGAGGAATGAACATTCCATGCTGACCGATCACACTCGCCGTCTGCTCCTTAATTGTTGGGATCATGTATCAACGGGAAAATCAATCAAATCAATCTACTCGAAATTTGCTTAAAGACAGATCTTACAAACTTTCCCCCCAAAATCATGAAAATGACAACTGAAGTTAATTAATATATATGTCTAACCGAATATATTTTATTTCTTTATTCAAAATTTCAAAATCATATTTATAAAATGATCAAAATTATATAGATTATAAGGATGATTGCAGAAAGGTAAAAATGATGAACACCATAGAATTAACAATTTCTTAATCATGTTTTAAAATATTTTAGAAAGAACTGCAAACGATAGTATTGTTCTCTCGCCTACCTCCAAGTCAATTTTCAAAAGTCGATGATATTCGATGAATTTTTAATATTTTTGGTAGATAATTAAATGGATTTTCATAAAACATTACTTATTTGGGGAAACAAAGAGAGATAACTCTAAAATTTTGGTAAAACTTGTGTTTTTTTCACTATAGAAATCAAAGGAAAACAGAAAATATTTTTAAAACATCATCTAGTTATTTCACAAATTCATTCCAAAGCTTTTTGTGTGACACCGGGGGGGGGGGGGATATGTTTATTGACAAAAATGATAAACATGCTTATTTTCCATCAATTTCAAAGCGATATACAACTAAAACATATTTTATTGAAATGTTTTATTTATTTGCCTAAAACATAAGAAAAGATATAAGGAACATTTAATCATATGCAAGACTTTTTCAAAATATGGTATGCTTAAAACTTCGATTTCAATGGAAAATATCGTCTACCCCCCTTTTGTCAAGAGCTGGAATTATGGCTAAATTGCTATTTATATTGAATTAAATGGTTCCAAAATGCAGGGGGGGGGTCGAGAGTTAGAGTGCGTATTTCTTTGATATTTTCATCATTCACAACAAAAAAACCTTTAAAATATATATCGACCTGGGCATTATTATTTACCTAATGGTTGTATACTCTGTCCTCAAAAGCACAACACATGTACATGTATGTACATGTAACAAAATAAGGCCCCGGTATCATGGAGCAATCGTAAATACTGGATTCAAAATGTCAGTCATTGCTAAAATGAATATCACTGATAAATAAGCGCTTGAAAATTAAAATCAACAACAAAAAAGGCAAACTATTTTTACTGACATGTGCATAACACAAATCTCAGACAATATAATAATACTATGTTAATTAACTGACAAAAGAAGTATTTGCATAAAATGTGCAAGAATTTGTTGTTGCTCAAAATGAAAATGAAATGCAATACATTTTAAAAAAACTATTTTGTATTCCAAAAGTGACGTTATCATTGAAAATTACTAGCATATTAAGATGATTATTTCACGCTCTTGTGAATAAGTAATGATTCTTCATATAGAATTATTATTTCTGTCTCTAAAAACATTATGATATATCATAAACCTAAATTGACCTTCATTTTCATGTAACAGTCTGTGTTTTTTTTAGAATGACTTTTAATTTCCTGTTTTCATTTCAACTACATTCGCGCCGGTCACGTCGTTATAGGTGACGCTAATATATACAACATAGTAAAAAAAACGAAGAATAAAAACTTATAAGGTCGAAAATACTGTCAACTGTTATGAATTTTATAGAAAAAAATAATGGAGTTGTGGGTAAATATGAGGGTGAAAACTTGAATATTTTGCAAGAACGGAATAAGTATTTTAAAAACATATTAAAGAACCGTATTAGAATGATAAGGCAATAATTTGTCCTTTCATTTTCACTGATAAAAGAATTTCTGAAAGGATACGTTCTTAACAATATCTAATGGTTCCAACAGACAAGGCTTGCAACAATATATCCCCTTTGTTGTATATTTTTTTTACAACCAAGCTTTATGATAAACGTAGTGATATTTAACTTTTCAATCGTGAACTTCCCTTATTTATGGAGCAATATACCTTCATCACCTGTATACGGAATTTATATCTCTCAGTTAATTCGGTAAGCAAGAGCATGCGCTACGTATATACAATTTCTAAAACGAGGTAAATTATTGACAAGCAAGTTGATGAAACAAGAATATCAGCAGTCTCGTTTAAAGTCATTTCGTAAGTTCTATGCTCGATAAAAGGACATTGTCAGTTAATACAATTTTTCATTGAGTCAAATGCTGGCTGAGGTTTTTCATATTAATTGTTAGTCCATTATTTATACAATAAATTGACGACGGATTTTTCCGTTATTTCCCGATCATGAGAAGAAGCACACAGCAGGTGTGACCAGTTGACAGGGGATGTTCACTCCTCCATGGCACCTGATCCCACCTCTGATGTTTTGGAGGTCCGTGTTTGCTTTGCTTGTTTTGTATTGTTAATGGGTTTTTGAGCTTGTATACTGTTCGTTATCTCCATATGTTTCATTACAGACATTCTGAGATCGATCAGTGTTCGTTTTTTTTCATCTTGTTCATTTGCAATGCTCATTATTACAACTGTTTTTTAGAACACTTGTAATTTCTGCCTCTGGAAATCTAACATAATCTCAGTTCACTTTCTAAAGAATTTTTTTTCTAGAAGTAGTGTAAATCAAAAGATGGATTAAGATATTCTTTTAAACCCCAAGGAACAGAAGGAAATTTAAAATCTTCAAATTTTTTCCTAAGTCAACACATTAAAAGATGTCTGTACGACTTTTCTACTCTTCATAAAAAGAAATGAGAAATTGACGAATAGTAATCACGCTCAAGACACCACTCAAACAATACACATCGGGAGCAGAGCACACACTCATCTCTAAAAATATCAGAGGTAGGATTAGGTGCCATGGAGGATTAACTATACCCTCCCTGTCAATTTCATCAGCCGTACGTTTCTTGTCATGATCGGACAGACAAAAAAAATCTGAATATGTAAATATGGCTTTACAACTCGTATGAAATACGTCATTCAGAATTTAAATTTATGATAGATCCTTGATGACAAGGTTATTGTATCCATAATAAAAATGTTGACTTTAAAGGAGACTGTGGATATTTTTGTTTCATCAACATCTTTGTCAATATCTTGCCCTGTTTTAGAAATTGTTTGTACGTAAAGGGACTTGCGTATCGAATCAACTGGAAGACACACACTCGATATGCAGGTGAGAATGGAATATTGCTTCATAAATAAGCTATGTGAAATTATATTATTAGCATCCTGCACTTTACCATCGACATCTGCCTTATTTGTAATTATTTTGTAAAATGCTTTTAAAAAATATGATGTATTGTTGTACAATTTAACAGAGCAAGTCGTTGGTCACACCCGTCCTTATATCCAGAAAAGAAGCAGATGTGCTAGACCCCATACTATCTTTTATTTTGCGTTGACTGGAATATATCGAATCTATACGTAATAAAATAAATGTTGATCATGCATATCATTCAATATCTAATTAAAGGCAATGACGTCTGCCTCATAACCTCATGTAAAGTATTCTTTACTCATAATAAAACGGATCACAGTTTTCATCGCTGATATTTCCAATTTATTGTTGGGTGACCTAAATTTTGTAAACGTGGATTAAATTAATTTCAATTCTTATAAATTAATTTTGATTTAACACAAGAAATATTCATTTAAATTACCAAGTAACTTTTTACTGAATATATATTTTTCTTTATTTTAAGAAAAGTCGGTCTCTAATTAATTTTGTCCATGAAGAGTGATTGTATAAATATTGGAAATTCAAATCTTTTAGTGTTGTGAATTTTGGTTGAAAATAATTTCACTTTCAAGATGGTTTTTGCAGGTTTTGAAAATCAAATGTAGATTTACTGTTTCTTGAATGTGGTGTGGCACAGTACATCTGGGGTTTCCTTTTTGGTAGTTGATATATGTTGGATAAAGAGTAGGGATGACAGTTTTAATCTGTTAAGGTGCGATATATTTTTAACCTTGCATTTTTTAAAAAAAAGTTTAAATTCAATGTTCTTTGTTTTTTTTTTTGTGAATAAAAGTTATTCACGCATTTTCTTTTCAAGGTTTACCGTGCATGTGTGCGTATTTAAATTATGCTTACTTGTGCATCATGTTTCAAAGCAATTTTTGTCATGCATAAGAGTTTTGACCCCCCAGAAAAGGGGTTCTTATAACATCTTCACATTCACATTCTGTATTGATTTGAAAATTATCTATAGAAACAGTACACAAAAACAAGATATGTTCCTCTGTCGGAAGAAAAGCATGGTGTGGGAGGGAGAAGGTTTGTTCTTAACATAGGTCATGGCACTTACATGACAATATGGATATATATTATCAGGAATATCTCCAAAATCATTCAAAACGTTAGTCATCTATAAAAAATCATTTGACACGTTTAATGTTTTATTTTCACAAATGTCCAATCAAATCCCAACTTCTCTGAATGTCGCCAGAAGATTAGAACCAAAGTACAAATATGGTAATAAACTCGACACATTTGGTGCCCTGTAACGTTTATAGAAAATGATAATTCATTAAAATTGGCCCGACCTCATACGTCATGTGTGGAATGAAATGAAGGCTGTTTTGAATACATCACTGTAAAGCCAGAGGAACGCCCTACAAAATTTGCGCGGCGGCACTGGTGTATATATATAAAAGTCAACTGCACAGTGAATTCAGACAATTGTCAACATACATTAATTAACGGTAATCAGCCATATACGGTTTCCATTAAAAGACATTCATATTTTGTGTACGGGATAATTATAACATGGCGTACTACAACATTACATACATCGCCCTTGTGGTAATTTTCACCTTTTGCCAAACAGGTAAGACATTTTCTAATTATTAGCAGGTATAAAAGATATTACAGATAAAAATTAATTTTGAATTTTTCATTCATTCAAAGAAACCGTTCACACATTGAAGTGAAATTTATGTTTTGCCTGCAGCTAAATATCTAGACGAAGTAGCACAAAAATGTCCACCGCGGCCACCATCTTAATTAATTCATTTTGGACACATGTGCACCATATGTTACAAATAAACAGCAAAAGTAGATCACTGATTTTGTAAAATAATTATATATTTCTCATGAATTTTTTAAGCATGATCTTGATTAATATTTTCAGGCAAAACTTCACCAATACGGAGCAAGGGGGGCAATTATATATCACCTATGCAAAATTTCTTGCTAATGACCGACAAATACAGAGTCCATGACACAGATGTAAAATTGGCCGACAACTCCACGACAGACCAAACAAGTAATCCTGAAACACCCGTTTCCGGAAACATTACTCTACAAAGTCTCGAAGCAAACAGCACGAAAAGTGATGACATCATAAATACCCACGCAAAAATTAGTTCCACAGCGGCACCATCTGCAGTTGTCTCCACAACTTTAAATTCTACAACAAACAAAAACCAGAATTCGAACAGCCCGAAAACTGATCAACTTTCCGGGGGTACTTCCTGATCTAGGAGCAAATTTGCCAATTTGATTGGAGCACAAAAAATCTTAAGAATTCCGGGATACAGACCACCCATGTCTCCTCTGGATTCTACTCCGATATCAGTGTAGGAGCAAAGGGGAAAGGTGCCATGTTAAATTCCAAAACGAGGACAAGGAAATCCATACATCATTTTATTTACCCTCATTAGCTTTGTTTGCTGGCGAACAATAACTAATGATTGATGTCTGACTTGACAACGCAGCTTTTATTTATTCATTTTTATCATATCTTTATATTCATGCGATTTCATCATTAAATTATTTATTTCTTTTTTAAATGCTCTGTGTTTTAATGTTTTTGATTGGGAAAAGTTTTCCGCAAAGTTGGATCTTCTTCAGCTTCATCGTTATATCCAAAAGCTCAGTATCAAAAGGGATTGTTCTTTGTGATCACATGGAAAACACTAATTTAAACATTGGGTTAAAACAGAGTAAATTTGAATTAAGAAAAGGTAGTTCTCAGAATAAATTGGGTTCCAAAAACGTTAACAAAAAGGAATCGGGATTTAACTTTACTGATAAAAGGAAGGTTGTGTGAAAGATATACATTGCGTTTGTGTGTCTTTCAAATGCAACTTGGAAAGAAACTCTCCTATTTCTTGATATATCAGCATTCATATCAAACCTCCAGAATTCCTCAATCTGATTTATATTATTAAGTTATTTAGATAGGAAAAAGAAAAGAAAATCACCTTAATTCAAGAAAAAGTTAATCATTATTATAAAATGGAAATAAAATCAATTGGTGCAAGCAATTTCAAATTGCATTACCAAAAAAATATCTTATTTTTTATAATCCTTCATAGAATTTTTTTTCTTCCAATGGTAATAATTCATAAAATTGGTGGCCATATGAGTAAATTTTATATAGATCTGCCCCTCAAAGCATTGAGTTGTTAATTTTCCTTGAATGATTCCACCATATGAACACCATACTGGGTTATGAAAACATTTCCAGTAATTGTGTTATAGTCCAACTGTAGGCAAAAAAGAACAGGGAAAGTTGAGTTCAAACAAAGGCAGAAAATTGATATGCAATATGCCACTTGTATTGATAAGAACAATTCCAGTCTTTGCATTCAGATCCAAATACCTAACTATAAAGAAGTATGTAAGAGTTAGATACAGGGACTTTACTTTGAAGGATAATACGTATAGATACATGTATCAGGAAAAAAGAACTTTACATATATCTAGTTATTAAAACAGAAATCTCTCTAAATTTATCAATACTCAGTATAAATATTTAAAAGTGTTTGTTACGTCTGAAAGTGCAACATGTTTTCCCCTTTAGAGGGCAAAAGGGAATGAATATCATTATAAATCCGTGTCATAATAAACACAAGGCGTTAACGGTATATCGAATATTTGACAGGTTTCATTTAAATGTTTATGTATTAATTATACAGTGTTTTGATCAAAGGTTAATAATATACATACTCACTCGCACGTGTCAGTCAATATAGTAAATATAAATATGCTTAATGGTTTGTCTGAAGAGGGGCATTCGTAGACAAGTTCGGTGTAGGAAAAAACTTGCAATTGACAGTCATTCGTCATATTTACGTGACTAAAGGTGAGAATGCTTAAAAACCTTCTTCATTCTGTTTCTAATTGATCATAGTGTCATGTGCTAATTGAATGCCCATTTATTTTAACTTACTAGGTTTATTTGTAATGTAATTCCTGTATTTGGTGACGCCCAGAAAGGAAAAGGTCTGGTAAGGACCGAATCCGCCCCTCTGATTTGTCAAAAATATTTAAACAAATGAATCTGTGTTAGGATGTATAAAAAATTGTATTTTAAAAAGTTAAAAGATTTAAGCAATTTGTCTGGTTTCTTTCAATTTTGGTCATATTTCATTCAATTATAAACACAAATACTAAAAATGTGTTGGAAAATATTGAGAGCAAATATTAGTTAAAGGATTTGGCTGATACAGTAATCAGTATAAGCGGTTAAAATGGTATTAACTATATGGAATAATCAGGCATGGTAATTGTAAATTTTTCCGGGTAGATCACATTCACATAGCAAAAAAAAAAAAAAAAAAATAAATAAAAAATAAAAAAAAAACAAGATGTGTTTTTGAAACACTATGCGCCCGGCGGCAACAGAAATCTAAAAAGCTATTTTTAGCATACTAGCATAGGTAACAGAAAAGGCACAAGGTCATTGACCTTGGTGTTATTTAAAAGAACTTGATTAGTGGAGTATGCACACCAAATATGAAGTCTCTATCTTTTATGGTTCAAAAGTTATGGTGAAAGTTACGAAAAAGCTTTTTTAGCATATAGGTCACAGTCAAGGTCACCAGGTCATTGACCTTGGTGTCATTTGAAAGAAGTGTAGTATGCATACTAAAAACGGAGTCTCTATCTTTCATTGTTCAAAAGTTATGGGGGAAGGTTAAAGTTTGCAGACAGAAAAGCTATTTTTAGCATAACGGTCCCATTCAAGGTCACAAGGTCATTTATATTGGCGTGATTTGAAAGCACCTCATTAGTGAAGTATACATACCAAATATGAAGTTTCTACCTTTCATGGTTCAAAAGTTATGGCGAAGGTTAAAGTTTGGAGACAAACAAACAGACAGACAGACAGGACAAAAACAATATACGCCTCGGATCTATCGATCCAGGCGCATAAAAACGCTACAGGTGAGGAAAACTCAATCAATCAATTTTAGGTTTGGAAAGCTTTTCTCCTATTGCAACATTATAATCTTGTGCTAAGGTCTGTAATTGTCATCACTAAAATGAATTCTACTATGAGAATAAAATGATTGTAGCATTTGTTAATGAAACATTGCATAACTTTGAATATCGCACACAAAGGGTTCAATAATGACCCCAGTTGTGTTCACATAGAATTTGGTGCAGTTTTTTTCTCATTGTTTTTTTTATCATAAAAAATAAAACGCTATTACGCTGTTGCAGGTAACATTTTTTAAAAACTACACAGTAAACTCAGCTAGCAAACAACAAAAACAACACTAAAAAACAAAATCTACAAAAACCAAAACAAAAAATGCATAAAACAAACAAAAATATTTGTCAATAACTTACCTCGTTTTAGAAATTGTACATATTTAGAGCATCGACACAATAAAGAGGTATAACCTCCGTGTGCAGTGAAACATATGGAGATAACAAACAGTATTCAAGATCAAAAGTCCATAAAACAATACAAAATAGAAGCGGAGCAAACACGGACCTCCAACACATCAGAGGTGGGATCAGGTGCCATGGAGGAGTGAGCATCCCCTGCCGACCGGTCACACCCGCCGTGTGCTCCTTGTCATGATCGGGAAATGCAGGTGATGAAGGTATATTGCTGCATAAGTAAGGGAAGTTGGCGGTTGAAAAGTTAAAGTCATCCCGTTTATCATATAGTTTGGTTGTTATAGATTACCGTTTACGTCTTTTTCAAGTAATATATCAAAATATGAAACAGATGTGTCAGACTCTGTGGTATCTTTTATCTCAAGCTCGTCGGGATAAGTTGTATCTAAATAAGAATGGAAATAACCATTGTTAATTGACAATACATAGTCGATACAGTGTATATCTAAATGTTGAAGGCCACAGAAAGTGTTTTCTTCTTTTCATGTAGAAGATTTTGGACAAATTCTGCTTCATATGAATACAAAAATAGGTTTGCTAATAACACGCAATCAGTACTCATGGGAATTCCAATAAATTGTTGGAAGACCTGGTCTCTAAAAACCACATAGATATTCATTTTTCAATTGGGAACTCTTTAAAATATCATCTTCATGTTACTTTTGTGTACAATCAGAATGTTTTTAACAAAATAATTTTGCGAATGACCAATGACAAGGTAAGTTAATTTACGAGTTTCATTTTTATTGAAAAAAAAGTAGCTGTAAGTGATATCAAAAGGCCTGGACTTTAATTTATCATGGGGGGAACTTTTGTGTATAAAGTTTGAAAGGCGAAAGATTTCAAGCTGTTAATTTTGGTAAAATCTTGTTATTTAAATTTTTCCAAAAGTTCCTTGAAATTTTTTAGCATCCACATCTGAATACCACTTCTCGAATACATTGTTGTATAGTACTCTTGGGGTTTCTTCTTCACTACTGTTAATATCTTAGTGAGGGATAAAGAAAGTGGCTTGCTTGAATATTTACTGGAACCCGCTATGTATCTTTGTAAGGATTTTATGATGTTTCGGAATCCAATATAGATACAGTAATTCATATTCAGTTTTGGTTGTTTATGGAATATTAAAAATAATCAAAACTGTCATATGAATTATCAGTATACCACATTTAATGATATGGATTATGATTCAGTTCTGTGATTTCCAGTTTTCTACGAGTTTCTTGGAGTTTCTGTAATATCCACGTCTGAATATGTTAATTGTTGCATATAGTTGTTCATATTTTGTTGAGGATCAAAGAAAAAAGTGTTGGTAGAACATTTACTGGAACCCGCTATGTTCTTTGAGTTCCTTTAAAATACAATTAAAATGCATGATGAGTCTTACACAAATAGACAATGTTGTTTCCTGCTTTGTCAGTTTGAAGCAATAGATATTGATTGTGTAATCTAAATACTTTTTTCACTTTTGATTTATTGAAGATAGAACTAATATATATGATTTTCACATTGTCCCTCAACCATTAAATGTAAGATTGATAAATACATAAAGTTGCCATATAACTTTTTAAATAATATTTTCAATATTTAGAAAGAAAATAATGCAGGAATTAGAAAAAAAAATCTTTGGTGAGTTGTTTTATTAATTTTTCTTGTTTCTTTGAAAAGATTGTTATTTGCAATGTTGTTTAAAATGGATTTTATGGTAAAACAAAAAAGAAGTATCAATTCAAACAATAAAGGAATTGTGTGTTACCACACTGGATCATTGTTTTAGACATCTTCTACGACACTTATTTCTAATTGTATCAAATCTATAATGTTTCTGTAATGATGAGTTTATTAACAAATCATCCTATTCTATTACAATAAAATCCACTTTCAATTTACATGTATTTTAATATCATTATCACGAGTTAAAAAAATATGAAGAGGGATGTTAAACAACAAACAAATAAAGCTATTTTATTTCCGGACCTTGTTGTCAAAGAGGAAAATTATTTTGAATTCTGTTGTTTTGCTTTTTCTTGGATGAAATGGCTCCAAATGTAAATAACAGCAGATAAGCTAGTATTCAATCATTTACACCACATGTGATCTACGCAAGGTATTTCGTACATGTATATGCAAATGCGTAAAAAAAAAGTGTTAC